TGTCCTACTTTAGGTCAGGTCAAGATCTCACAGTTCCTGTGTTCAAGCCCCAGGTCGGGCTCTGTGCTGACAGCTTGGAGCCTGGAGCCTGCTTGGGATTCTGTATCTCCCTCTCTCTGTCCCTCTCCCCACTCATACGCAAACTGAGGGTTGATGGAGGAAGTTAGGCAGAATGGGCCAGATGGGTGATGGGTATTAAGGAGGGCTCTTGTGTTATATGTGATTGATCACTAAATTCTACTCCTGAAAAAAGTATTACTCTACATGTTAACCAATTAGAATTTAAATAAAAACAAAGTCCATCAACAATCAATTCCCATTTTCCATTTAAAAACGAACACTTCACATCTGAATCCAAGATAATACTGTCAGTAATAGTATTAGCTAAAGGTTATGACATCTCACCATTCAGTCAAATTGTCATTCAGGCTCTTGTTACAGAGGACAAGTAGGAGCTTTGCAAAAGTAAAAACTGAGGATGGAGATAACTTTTGGGGAAATGTCCTGAGTTGTTTAGGTCTAATTTATATTTGATACTAAGCTTACACATAGTCAGATTTATTAATGTCAAAATTAAGAGAAAACTGCTATGTTTTTAACAAATCTCCACTCCCCCCACCTAAGTAGTCTTGTAGTCAGGGTATAAACCTTAGTTACACAACTACTAAGGTCCTGTTCTGATGGGTGAATGAGGAAAAAAAAAATCCAAAACTCATAGAAAATGCTCATAATGCTTCAATAATTTCTGAAGGATTAATAAACAAATTTGGATCCCTCCTCTCATTAATCCCACCCAATTCAATGCAGTAAATTTCCAGTTTAAACAAGTAATTTAAACAGGACCTTGAGATGGGTACAACCAAATCAAGTTTTCTAATGTGAAGGCTGGTAGTTGGCAGCCTGTATAATAAAAGGTCACTGTGTCAAAACCATGCACTCCCTTCCTTCTGTCCATATTTTATACATGATTTGGGGCGGGAGGAGAAATGAAATTGGATAAATTCTAAATTCAGCAAAAAAGAATTAACTCAAGTATCTTCTTGTACATCACATATGTAAATCAGAAACCATTTTATATAAAATATTTCGAATGATGTTGTGAGAAAAATGTTTAGCTTATTCAAAATTCTTGTTTAGGGTCAATTTTAGTATTTAGATCCTTATCCAGTAAATTTTTTTAATATTTTAAATGTATTAGAAAAAGGTTTTGCATTTTATGTATTTTCCATTAAATGCAATCAATGATTTAATCAATTGTCAGAAGTATTCTATTTGTGAAAAATGTGAGACTGATAATAGCAGCTTTGTATAATTTTACTTTCTGTTTGGAGTTTTACAAATTCAAAATAATAAATGTTTATTTTCTTATTCTTTCCAAAGCTTCAATTTAGAAAAGAATATTACTGCTTTAAAATTGCAAAACACACAGAATCTGTGCTTAATGACATTTTCAAATTTGTCTGTAAGAGCTTGGTGCTATGAAAAGAGTGGTAGAGAATAAAAAAGTAAGGAAGAGAATTTTCTTAAAGTGAATATTGATATCATTAAGAGAAATAATGGATACCATCAGTTAACTATACTAAAACTTCCTGTTGTTTTAGCACAACCTGGTGGTGATTAATTTCAGGTGCAGCAAATGTCAGAAAAAAATCAAAATTTTCTGGTTACTTTAAATCCACTTATAGTAATACCTTTTTAATTTACAAATTAAATATACACATTTAGAGCCATTATAAAAACATATGGCTTATCTTCTAAAATGGCATTTCCAAAAAAGGAGTTAGCCAAAAACAATAGCAAAACTACACAATTACAGTAGGCTGAATGTGCACACAATATCCTTTAAGTAAATGTCAGAAAGTAATCACACCGCCCCCTCTCCTGTCATCAAATTATTTCAAGAACCCAACATTGGTACTCCAATGAACAAAAGTACAAAAATCTCTTTATGACTAACTGCTTAGAACAGCGTGAACACTACTTTGTTTCATTTCTTCAGCATCTTTCCCTCTAGCACTTTCTGTACCTCCTACAGCAAATACTTTGTTAGGGCAACTTAAGAAAAGCCCCAAAAGTAAGGCTTTTTATGAGTGGCCACTGGTTATTGACCAGTAAGAGCCTGTTCTTTATAATAGAAACTTTGTGGGGCACTTGGGTCGCTCAGTTGGTTAAGCGCCCGACTTCGACTCAGGTCACGCATGATCTCACGGTTTGTGAGCTTGAGACCCGCATGGGGCTGTCTGCTGTGAGCAAAGAGCCCACTTCGGATCCTCTGTCCCTCTTTCTCTCCCCCTCCCCCACTGGCTCTCTCCTTCTCTAAAAATAAAAAAAAAATTAAAAGTTATAACAGGAACTGTGTATACTGTGAATCTAGATTGCATTCGGTATATGGCATTCCAGTCTTCCGCATGTACTGAAGTTTATTAAGGTGTGGACTCAGATATCCCAATATTTAAAGTATTAACAGTAACATTCTTTTAGAAATGAAGAAAACCCAATAAATTATCATTATTTTATAATGATACCCAACTTTATCAATACCCAATAAAGTATTATCATAATGTGGTTCGGCTCTAGCCACTGTTTCATACTTCTTTTTCCAATATGAGAGTGTAACTACTTGAGAACTTACCGGATACTGGATTTCCCAATATACTTGGAAAGATATGATTTGAATGTGTTCTGTATAAAATACCATACGTAGGTAGTTAAATGTTAAAAGCGCCCAGAAGGTAATTGTGAAGATATGTTTTGTACTACATTTGTCCAGGCAGATATTTACAAAATTCATTTCTCTATCTTACCCATTCTACAATGAATATTGTACTATCAACACGGACTCGTATGTGCTCCTTGGGCTCATGTGAAGCACAGAACACAGTAAATTATTTCACTGATGACTTTCTCCATTCTCAAGATGGTACATAATCAGTACCTTTCTAGATGCCACAGGGAATGAGGGCTTAATTCTTTCCTGGAAACCCTAATAATAAAGACGGATAGACACTAGTAGTGTACCTCCTCTTCTTTCCCCAAATCCTTCTAGCCTCAGAATCACGCTGTATCTGTTTTTTTTTTTTCATGGCATATCCATTTAACTAATGGCAGACCATCCTGTATTTGTAACCACAGGGAAAACTTTGAAAACACCCAACTTTATATGTTTAAATCTTATTCTTCCTCTTAAGTTCTATTTTTCTCTTCAGTCCCTGCTTTTGTCAAGCTTATTATATACAAGTTATCTTTTCATGACTTTGTACTGATTTTCTATATAGAAACTACAAAAATCTTCAGAGTTTTTCTGGAGATTTAGAAGCTACAATTTTTCTCCATATTTAGCATAAAATTAAGTGCATATAAATTTTGAGTTATCCTGTTCCTGTGAACTGATGGTGAAAGATGAATGATTTTAATCAAAAGGTGGTATAGATTTTGAAAACCTTTGCTTGACTCCCCAGAGAGGATAAACAAATGCTAAAAGTTGATAAGGTATGTGGTATATACTAACTGGAAAGCTCATGAAGCTTTTACTAAGCCATAACAAATAATTTAAAAGAATCTCATCCCACACTATATGGACCTTTTTTATTATACTAATATAATTTGAAACTAAAGAGTATTTTCCTTGCTAACACTGTGGAGCAACTTTGCTTAGCTTCTTCAGTGATTTGACTTCTTTCCTCTTAAGATAATGGTGACAAAGATTCTAAAACAACCTCTGAAAAGAGTTTTATAGAACTATTACTAACAATTATACACTGGACACTAGTAGTTTACACATAGAACACTAGTCACACTAGTCTATACTAAAGGCCACAGGTTGACAAACTTTCTTTGTAAAGGGTCAGATAGTAAATATTTTAGGCAGGCTTTAGGCAGGCTACACAGTCTCTGAAATAACTATTCAACACTGTTCCACAAAAGTAGCCATAAACCATGAGGAAAAGAGTAAGTACAACTGTGTCCCAATAAAATTTCATTTATGGACACCAAATCTCTTTTAATTTTTGTGTGTTTTGAAAAATTGTTTTTAACCACTTAAAACTGTAAACACAATCCTTAGCCCACAGGCCATGAAAAGCAGGCATTGGGCTGGATTTGGCCCACAGACCAGAGTTGGCTATACCTTATATGGGCTTTTATATGTTACACAAAATGTTTAAATTCCAAGTCTAAAGACACTGGAGACTTTTGTTTTTTAGATCTCTCATTTTAAAACTTATACTAGACAAGTTGTCTACTTCCTGGATAAATACACTCATGTGAGACAGAGAAAATAATTCAGAATACATATCCCTACTTAAAAAAGAAGACAGGAAAAATTTTTGCAAAATGAATCTTTCACCCTAAAACATATAATTAGGAAACATTTAAAATTTTTATTCTATGCAATATAAAACAATATGCATAGATTTGGTATACAATTTCTTGGTTTTTACTTTAGGAAACAAGGCAATAAGGAAAACGTTTATAAATCTCTCCATCCCTTTTATAAAAAGTTGCACTGAAACCAGCAATTCCTTGCAAGTACAACTATCAATTCTGAATATATGAATTATACCTAGGAATTGGCATTTACATAGATGAGTACTGGGTGCTCTTTTATTTTGAGAGAGAGAGAAAGAGAGAGGGTACGAGCGGGGAGGATCAGAGAGAGAGAACAGGTGAGGGAAGGGCGGGGGCGGGGGCGGGGGGGGGGGGGAGGGAGGGCGAGAATCCCAAACAGGCTCCACACCATCAGAGCAAAGCCGGATGCAGGGCTCAAACTCATGAACTGTGAGACCATGACCCAAGCCGAAACCAAGATCAGATGTAAAACCGACTGAGCCGCCCAGGCACCCCTCTTTTAAACATGTACAACTGTATCATAAAACACCATGACTTCTACAATTTGGGGCACTTTTGAATATGAAACTCCTGCCTCCATATATATATAAGGAAACAAGAATACTCTTTCCAGTCATCAAGTAAGAAAAACTTCACAGTCTGATTTACCTTTATCAAAGGTAAAATGATTTACTGCATTTCATGGATTATTGTGATTCTCAGTAGTTCCTTAACACAAAGTAAATTTCACATGAACTTTTTATCTGTTTGGGTTTTCCAAAGCAAGATACTAATACAAAATGTATTGAACTGGCAGAAGTCCATGGGCTAAAGAAAAAGGAATTAAATATAAAATGTTCACCAACTTTATCCTTTCTAATTTTCAACAGCATCAGATATGGAGACCTAATTGGTTTCTTGTGTCTATCCATTATGAACATAACTCAATCTTCTATTTTAATACTCTTCAATGCCATTTTTTGCTTGGTGCTTTACTGTGCGACGCAGAAGATCATTTCGTCCAACTTCAAGCATCTGTTCTTCCCAAGATTTCATTTCATTATAATAACGAATTTTATCATCATTAGCAAGTTGAATATACACCTGAGAAAAAGTGTAACTGTTAAAATAATTTCTTTTAGAAGAATCTTTACAATTAATTTCTGGAATGCTTCCATATACTCTAGAAATCACCTATTATTCTACATGTATAATGGGGACTAAGGAAGGAATTTTTTTTTGATATAAAAGATGAGAAAAAGGCTGAGATAAAGATAATTAAGTTGTTACAATATCGGGGTTTGGGATGTGGGAAAGGAGCTGAGGCAAGGTGAGATTGTCACTGGATAGAGTGAACACTTTAAGTTATGAGTGACACTGTTTTTTATTTGTAGTTAAAAACTACCAAAAGAAAAAAGCTGAACTGGTCCTAAAGATATAAAAATAATTTTAAAATACTTTGTGATACTAGTGATATAAAGTTGTTTTCACATGAATAAAGCCTTGCCCTAATATATTCTCTCACAGATATTCCAACTAGACACTTGAGACTAAAACCATACTACTTACTTGCTTTTGAGAACTGGAGAGATTCTTCCAGTTTTCATTTATAGTCTTCAGCTTTACCTGTAAAACATATATGTTTAAGTACCAGATACAGAGACTTCAGTGGTTAAAGATCTTTTTTAATTTTTGATTCCAATAATAAAATCTGATATCGAGAATCACAGGCAAAGTCTTATCAATTCCTTACCTCCCTTTTTAAAAAAATTTTTTTAATGTTTCTTTATTTTTGAGAGAGAGAGACAGATGACAAGTGGGGGAGGGCAGAGAGATGGAGACACAGAATCTAAAGCAGGCTCCAGGCTCCAAACTGTCAGCACAGAGCCTGAAGCAGGGCTCAAACCCACGAGCCATGAGCTCATGACCTGAGCCAGAGTCAGATGCTTAACTGACTGAGCCACCCAGGGGCTCCTTACCTTTCTTTCTAAAAAAAAAAAACAAAAAAAATTTTTTAATGTTTATCTTTATTTTTGAGACAGAGAGAGACAGAGCATGAGCGTGGGAAAGGCAGAGAGAGAGGGAGACACAGAATCTGAAGCAGGCTCCAGGCTCTGAGCTGTAAGCACAGAGCCCAACGCGGGGCCCAAACTCGTCAACTGCGAGATCATGACCTGAGCTGAAGTCAGATGCTCAACCGACTGAGCCACCCAGGAGCCCCGTCTTTCTAAATAAGAACTATTAAACTTAAAACATACAAAAAGTGAATAGGATGTAGATATTATCCTTTTTTATTGATATATAATCGACATATGACATTATTAATTTCAGGTGTAAACTTGATTCATCATTTGTATATCCTGTGAAATGATCACCACCCTAAGTCTAGTTAACTAATCTGTCACAATACATAGTTACAAAATATTTTTTTGTGACAAGAAGTTTTAAGATTTACTCCAGGCAACTTTCAAAAGTGTAATATGTCATTTAAAAAAAAATTTTTTTATGTTTATTCATTTTTGAAAGAGAGAGACACAGCACAAGCAGGGGTGGGGCCGAGAGAGAGGGAGACACAGAATCTGAAGCAGACTTCAGGCTCTGAGCTGTCAGCACACGTGGGGCTTGAACTCACAAACCACAAGATCATGACCTGAGCCAAAGTCGGATGCTCAACCAACTGAGCCACCCAGGTGCCCCTCAAAAGTGCAATATATTATTTTTAACTATAGTCACCATGTCGTTGTTTTTTAGAGGGAGAGAGGAGAGAGAGAGCATGTGCACACACGTGAGTGGGGGAGGAAGAGACGAGAATCTTAAGCAGGCTCCACGCTCAGCACGGAGCTCACCTCACGACCCTGAGCCAAAATCAAGAGTAGTATGCTCAACCGATGAAGCCACCCAGGCACCCCTACAGTCACCATGCTGTACAATGTATCTTCAGGACTTACTTATTTAAAATTAGAAACTAGTACAGTTTGACCATTCTCACCCATTCTGCATCCCAACCCCAACCTCTAGCAACCACCAATCCATTCTATTTATGAACTTGGTTGTTTTGTTGTTGTTTTCAAGATTCCACATATAAGAGAGATCATACAGTTATTTGTCTATTTCTGACTTATTTCATTTAGCATAATGCTCTCAAGGACCATCCATGTTGCTGCAAATAGCAAAATTTTCATTCTTTTTGAGGGCTGAATAATGCATGCACACCAGTTTCTTTATCCATCATCCATCAATGGACAGTTGGATAGCTTCCACATCTTGATTATTGTAAATAATGCCCAATGAACATGGGAGTGCAGATATCTTTTCAAGTTAGTGTTTTTGTTTCCTTTGGATAAACATCCAGAAGTAGAACTGCAGGATCATATGGCAATTCTATTAAATTTTTGAGGAAACTCCATACCATTTTCTACAGTGAGCTGCAATCTACATTCCCATCAACATATGCACAGCAATTCCCTTTTCTCAGCATCTTTGCCACCACCTGTTATTTTCTTATCTTTTTGATAACAGCCATTCTAACAGATATGAGGTGATATCTCATTTGGTTTGCATTTGCCTGATTACTGATGCTGAAAACCTTTTTATGTACATGTTAGTCATCTGTATTGTCTTCTTTGGAAAAATGTGTATTCAGATTCTCTCCCATTTTTTAAGTCAGCTTGTTTTTTTGCTACTGAGTTGTACAACTTCTTTATATATTTTAGATATTAACCCCTTTTCATATATATGATTTTCAAATCTTTCCCCTCATTCAGTAGGTTGCTTTTTCACTTTGTTAATGGTTTCCTTTGCTGTGCAGATGTATCTTTTTTGATTCAACAATACTTATATTCAACTATATTCCTATGATAGACTAACTTCAAAGACTTAAATGTTTTATTTCTTCCCTGTATCTTAATGTTTTATTCTAAAATTTGTACCTAAGTATTCAGGCATACTCATAGGAACAATACAATACTGGTCCTTAATTCTACTTAGCTGAACTTAAATTATATGACCTGGAAAAAGTCATCATTACCTCTCTTAGGCTTGGTTCTTCATTTATAAAATTAAAGGATGCAGGAAACCCAGGGATGGAGGAGAGTTAGAGAGGAGAGTCAGCACACCTCACACAGTATGTGCTGTTGCTCCCAGAAAGCAGAGACTGAGGCAATAAATGGGTGGGTGGAGAATGAGGGGCAGAGGGGTCGGAGAAGGCAAGTGTGAAGAAGGGAGGGAAATGGTCTGAAAAGAATCTATTTAAATCTAAGAGGAAGTCATCAGTGATTTTAAACAGAAGCAGAGTGAGAATAATGAACTTTACTGTTCTGACCAGAACTCTGTATTTTATCCTACCAACAAAAATAGAGATATAGACAGTATCTGAGACTACATAACCATCATGTTTTGGAACACTTTAATACTTACCTTTATAAACACATCTAATATATTCAGGGACATTTACTCACTAAATAATTGCTCTCTTAGCTCTGGAAGGAATTGCTTCAATCTTTCATAGCTAAGCTTTTTCCTTATATTTAATCCATAAACTTTTGTATTCACTGAGTTCAACAATAATTTATAAAGTTGCATGCATAAAAAAATCTGATCTTTCACCTTAATAAAGTAATTCATTAAAGAAAATTAAAGAGATGGAAAGATGTTTAGTTCTGCTCCTTCCTAAAACTCATTAAATAAGCCCTTCCACCATGCGAGGACACCGTGAGATGGTACCAGCTATGAACCAAGAGGGACCTCACTAGCAGACAACCATGACAGTGCCTCGATCTTGGACTTCCCAGCCTCCAGAACTGTGAACAATAAATTTCTATTGTTTATTTTTTTTAAGTAAATGAATAAACAACATTTTTTAAGGCATAAACCCACATGGACAAAGACAACAGGAGAGGAAACTACCAACACAAAATTTTAGCAGCTAAAAAGTAGGTGGATGGGGCGCCTGGGTGGCGCAGTCGGTTAAGCGTCCGACTTCAGCCAGGTCACGATCTTGCGGTTCGTGAGTTCGAGCCCCGCGTCCGGCTCTGGGCTGATGGCTCAGAGCCTGGAGCCTGTTTCCGATTCTGTGTCTCCCTCTCTCTCTGCCCCTCCCCCATTCATGCTCTGTCTCTCTCTGTCCCAAAAATAAATAAACGTTGAAAAAAAAAAAATTTAAAAAGTAGGTGGAGAAATGGTAACTGACTTACCTAACCAAGAAGGCAGATTCCCAACCTGGTACTGGGGAAAGCCATAAAGCAAACCAATTTACAATGCAGAATTCCCAAGCAGCTCAGGAATTGGCAGCACCAGATAGGTAGAAAACGGTGGTGAAAGGTGTGCTTAAAACAGTAAGACTGACTGAAATTCTCTTGAAAAAGAGATTAAATCCCCACCATGGGCAGATTCTAGGACTTATCCCCTCAAAAGGGTAAAATAGAGCTACTCTGTGGATATCAGGTACAGTTGGGGCCAGTGGTACCACACTGGAAACAAGGAGATTAAGTAAAAATGTACGTATACAGTATCCCAGAAAGAAAAGCAAAAAAGGTTAAGAGAAAAACAATACAGAAAAGAAAATGAGAGGACCAGCTCAGAAGACACAAAAACAAGTATGAGGTCTTAAAGAGAACACAGCGGGGAAGGTGGGGGGGGGGCCCCCCCCCAGAGAAGAAAAAAGAAACCAGATCACATTCAAAGGACCAATAATCAAAATGGCTTTATACTTCTCAAAAGCTATTAACAAGAGAAAGAAGCAATATTTTTAAAATTCTGAAAGAACATGATCTCTAGATTCTATGCCTAGAATTCTATGCCCAAACTATCAAGCAAATATAAGGTTAGAGATTATTTTCAGACAAGCAAAAATTCAAAAAACTGATCTTCCACGTACTCTCACTGGGGAGATGCTGCTATAGTAAAATCAGTAAACCAAGAAAGACAACAGCAGAAGCAAAAACACCACAAAGATGAACGTCAACTGTGCACTAGCAATAAAAGGCTACAACCAAAGTGGAACAAAACAGAGGTTCCAGATTGAAACTGACAGAATAGCTAATGCATCTAAATGCACTGAAAGCTGGTCAATATTTAAGGGTTTGGGGCTAAATTACTGATAATACATAAAAAACTAAGGAAACAAAAACATAAGACATACTGAACTTCAGTGAAAGTTTTGCAATTAAAAAAAAAATAGTCATAGCAAATGGCATAGCAAATGGCATAGCAAATATCATACTCGATACTTCTCTAACCAAAATTGTATGTATACTGGGAGGCAGGAAAATGGAAACATGAACAGTGGGATGAGAAAGTAATAAATGCTCATCTTAAATAGTGGGAGATAATGCCTAAATATAGGTAATGCTGAAAATTGAAAAAAAATCAAGAAGTAACAATATAAGGCTGTTATTTACAGATATGAAGATAAACAGCACAAGAATGAGCTAACAATAAAAGGTATTCACTTATATGACAGGGCTGTGAAAACTGGTTATCTTTTATAACAAGTCTTATTTTGATTCTTTTAACTATAAGGATATATACCCAATATTTTTTAAATGAATAAAAATGATAGTTGCATTAATTTTAATATCCTGAGATAGGGTCCCTCAGCCATTAAGCTTTCTAGGTGATTCCAAGGTGCAGTCGAGTTGAGAACCACTGATTTAGGAGCATTCTCTAACATATAACCTTTTTACACTGATAAGAAAACTAAATCCAAAGTCATTTAGTGACTGAGCAAATTCCAACTAAAAAAATAAACAAGCATATATTTTTAGTAATTTAAGGCCATAGAAACAATTTTAAAATCCCAAGGAGTAAATAAATCAAAGTATACAGCCAGGGAAGACCATATCACATATACATATTATTTAATCAAGTGTCAAACAGGACTTATGAAATGAACTCCCGATCCTAATAACCCAAAATGTAGCACAGTGGCAAAAACCTTCATCTCAGATTGACAAAAGTTAGAGATCTGAATGTATGCTCTTCTTACCCTATCATATTATAAAAGGAAAAATACAATTGCCAATTTGGAGCTTCTAACAAGGAAATAAGGAAAGAATAAGCCACAGCAGGAATGACACACTTCTTTTCTTCTTTGACATATTCATATGGTGATACTCATGGGCGTAATACATTCTCATGGGCATAACCAAAATTTTATTAAAGGATATAATATGAAGCAAGGTTATACTCAAATCCCAGGACAAAGTATTATAATCCCATTCTCATTCTTTCCCAGTGATGGTAAAACAGTCCCAGGACTGACTGATAAGAAGTCTCCAGAACTTTAACACCCCTATAAATTTGAAAATGTTATTATTTTAAATTTAAAAAAGCTGACAATATATATATTGCCCGCTAAGTACTCAAATTGTATGTGGCAAGAAAATGTGTTTTCCTTTAAAAGATACAAGAGGGCATTATTTGGATAAAGTACTTATTTATAATAATTTACTACTTTTCTTCACATCCTAACATATGACACCCCTACAATTTTCTGTCTAAATATTTTAAAAATCAAAAAAATTTAAAAAACAAATCTAATTCTGTTTTACCTGTGATGTACCATCCTTATGTTCCTGGAACCTTTCAGCTATATAAATGTTGTAAGCTGAGCGAGGTCTTTTCGGTTTTCCAAGCATTGTTAACTCCTGAGTAACAAAAATGGAAGAGTTAGATATAGTTTTAACTTCTGTAAGACTTTACCTACAGAAACTTTATTCATTACTATGCATTACAGGAAGTTCCTATAAGTGAATGTTATGATTCTTTGTATATACAAAATGACTACTCACTCGGGATCAGAATTATTTTTGTGATAGCACTAAGTTTTGAAAATTGTAAAAGGTTTTAGGAGTTATTTTCCATATAAAAACTTTTCCCTTACATATTATTTTCATGGTCTCCATGAAGTGAATAACTGAGCACTTAGGTACAAAATCTTTTTTAAAGGTTAAAACAATTTCAGTTTCATCCTTCCAGAACACTACCATCTCCAGCCACTATATGCCTCTACCACAACTCATAAACACTAGAGTATCTGTTTAATAATCTCTCATTTCATTTCCTTCCTTGGTATCTCTCAACTTTTAAACTTCAACAGATGTGTTAAATTCAATTCTTTTCACTAGGTACCAAAGGACAGAGGAGGCAAGAAATAGCAAACACAGGGGCGCCTGGGTGGCGCAGTCGGTTAAGCGTCTGACTTCAGCCAGGTCACGATCTCGCGGTCCGTTAGTTCGAGCCCCGCGTCAGGCTCTGGGCTGATGGCTCAGAGCCTGGAGCCTGTTTCCGATTCTGTGTCTCCCCGATTCTGTGTCTCCCTCTCTCTCTGCCCCTCCCCCTTTCATGCTCTGTCTCTCTCTGTCCCAAAAAAAATAAATAAACGTTGAAAAAAAAAAAAAGAAATAGCAAATACATGTATCCCTTACTGCTTAAATTAGTTTAGTTTATTTTTTTTTTTTATTTTTTTTTCAACATTTATTTATCTACAATGATAGTGTGGGATTATCTCTCTCTCTGCCTCTCCCCTGCTGGCTCTCTTGGCCTCTCAAAATAAATAAACTTAAATTAAAAAAAAAAAAAAAAAAAGACAGTCCTCACAGTATTGTGATATACTTCTAGGAGCTAAACCAGATTTCCACAATTAATACCAGAAAAAATACTTCCCCTGCTTCTGTAAGAAAGGAAGAGAGGAAAAGAAACTATTTTGAAATGCCTGAGCACTCAACTCAACTATTAACAAGGCCTGCCTTCAGGGGAAACTAGTTAACCAGAGCCTAACTTACCTGCATGAAGGGAAAACACCCAACTCCTGCACACTCTAGTCATCCTGACTCACACCTAATGGGGAGGGGGAGTGTGGAAGAGTGAACTGAGAAACTCTTGTGAAGTTCACAGACCAGTTGCATAGGCTCACTAAAAGATCGGGACCTAATTGTAGGACTACAGAATGCTTTTCTTTACCCCCACACCTCACCACCACATTGCTAAGGCCTATTTACAGCAGTTCCTTTTACTCAGTACATTATGTCCATCAATCAAGAACAAACTTCCAAGGCAGACTAAAAGGCAAAAAACATAATATGAAGAGACAAAGCAAGCATCAGAACCAGATATGGGAGGGATGTTGAAATTATCAGACCGGGAATTTAAAACAACTAGATTAGTATGCTAAAGGCTCCAGATTGCATGTAAGAACAGATTAGCAATGTAAAGCTCGGAGATGGAAATCCCAAGAAGTAACCAAAAAAAACCAAAAAACAAAAAAAGTTAGAGATCAAAAATGCTGTAACAGAGGTGCCTGGGTGGCTCAGTCAGTTAAGTATCTGACTCTTAATCTCAGCTCAGGAGACTGGGCTCCAAGCTGGATATGGCACCTATTAAAAAAAAAAAAAGAGAGAGAGAGAGAGGAGAGAAAGGAGAGAAAGGAGAGAGAGGAGAGGGACAAGAATGTTGTAATGAAACGAAGAATGTCTTTAATGGGTTTATTAGTAGACTGGACATGGCTGAAGAAAGAATCACTGGGCTAAAGGATGTAATAATAGAATCCTCAAAAATCCAAAACAAAGAGAACAAAGACTGAAAATAAACCAAAAACTGAAGACTATCCAAGGACTATAGGACAACTTAGAACAGGTGTAACAAACATAAAATGGGAATACTAGGAGGAGAAAGAGAAAAAGAAATATATGAAAGGGAAATCCCGTATTACTGCCCAATCCTCATTTCTGGTCTCTCCACTCTTACATTGGATGGGTGCATTAAAAAGGAAGGGAGAATAAAGGAGGGAGAATAAACTTCAGTACCCAGCCCTCCAAATACTTACCCCTATGCAGACACTGTATTTCTATTGTCTTTTCTAGCTCCTTTTTACTAATTGGATCAGAAGACTAGATTGCTATTTAGATTACTGACTTAAAATAGGTGAGTCCTGAACTCTGGTGCTAGGAGAGCTCAACAAGAGTCAGGGAGACATATGTTGTCATCTCACATTAAAGTCTCAAATTTACTTTTTCAAAGAAATAGTTTTAACTCTGATGACCATTTTCTACAGTATATGTACTGGACCAGCAAGCTGACCATCTCATACCTAATACTGTTCCTACAGAAAAATGTAGTCTTTCAAGCAATAGTATTTATGTGGATTAATAACCTTAAACTGGGACCAGACTACAAATCTGAACCATGTGGGGTGTTTAATGAGGAAAAGTAGTTCATCCTATAGGACTTCTTATTTGACTAGATACAATAAAGGCATTTTTTTCCTGATGTGTTAATGAAATCAGTCTATTTAGCAACATCCATAATGAAACTCATCCATAATCAAACTCACCATTACCTATAAAACAATTCAAATCAGCAGGTTATCCTAGACAAGACACAGACACAAAGATTCTTGCTATTCCTGATTTGGCTGTTTCATAACTCTGTTCCTTCAGCTTTCATTCTAGTCCTAACTACATATCTTAAATTTGGATACATTCAAAAGTAGTAACAAGGGGTTCCAAGACAGACTCAATGCCAAGTGGTCCTAGTGGCAGAAAAGAGTTATCCCATTTTTTCCTAACTGGGGTACTCCTGATGACATTCTACCATTTAGCCACATATATCAAAATAAGAAAAACTCCCAATATTCATTGTTCTATAAATTTCAGTTCTTTGCCAAAGGAAAAAAATATTTCACTGATACTCACTCTCTTTTTTATTAATGCTTTCTTTTTTAAACGTTTTTGCTGGATTTCTTTTTCCAAAGATACAATCTGACTTGGAGTTAACTGTTCTTGAATTCTGTTTATCTCTTCTTTGTATGCCTGCCAGTCTGCCCTGTAAGCATCTTCATATATCTATAAATAAAAAACCCAAACATGAAGTCAATAAATTACTGCTGATAAATCAAACACAGCACACCCGCCAGGGAAAGACAATTGCATGACATCAGATAAAGACAGACTAGGGGCACCTGGGTGGCTCAGTCAGTTGAGCGTCCGACTTCAGCTCAGGTCATGATCTCACAACTTGTGAGTTCGAGCCCCACATTGGGCTCTGTGCTGACAGCTCGGAGCCTGGAGCCTGCTTCTGATTCTGTGTCTCCCTCTCTCTCTGCCCCTCCCCCACTCATGCTCTGTCTCTGTCTCAGAAATAAATAAACATTTAAAAAATTTTAAAAAAAATAAACATTAAAAATAAATAAAAATTAAAAAAAAATAAAAAGACAGACTGAACCACCAAGTGAAACATGTGCTCTGGAATCACATGTATATGGACTAAAAACATGTTTTTTTCATAAAAATGTTAACAAAGGTGAGAGTCTAACAACTAGTCTTCAGTTTCAGATATTGCCAACCCTTTGTTGCCACTGCCATACATCCATTTTCTAATCATTATGAATCAGAAAGTATGAAGTTCCTTTATAGGTAACAGATATTAAAAAAAATTTTTTAATCATCTAGTCCCTTAAAGGACATGACTATTATTCTTAACTGCAGAATAACTGGTCAGCAACACTGAAAACCAATATGCTTACTTTTTTCTCTGAATCAGGAAGTTCCCTCCATAGCTGGGCAATTTTTCTAATTAGTTCTGAATTTTTCGCATCTATAGATTGAAATAAAATGAAAAAGTCACAATTTTATGTCTCAGGATTAATTTCTAAAGACTTCTAGGAAATCTAGCTTTAGCTCTAAGTTTTATTACAGATACCTCTATACCACATATAATTTAATACAATGATTTAGGTTTTCTTTAATTTCATACTTGATCCAGAATTGTTAAAGTCTGTTACCTAATAATTAAGAAATATGTCACATACCCCCCCCCAAAATTATTAGTTTAAGCAGTTGGGTAATCACTGTCTTCAAGCTTTTTACTTCATATTTCAAACAAAAAATTTTTTCCCATCTTTCAGGAATTATTAAGTTCATAAAACCTGACTCAACAATAAAATATAATCTTGATTCATGTAACACTGCCTTGTATTTCAGTTACAGAAACACTACTTGCAACAAGCTATTCTAAAATCAATTCATTATTCCCCATTTCCTTCCTCATCTTAACTGATCATTATTCCCCATTCCCTTCCTCATCTTAACTGATCAAGTCATTATTCCCCATTTCCTTCCTCGTCTTAACTGGAGTGGCATTTTAACAAACCACTTAGTTTGAACTACAACATTTTAAAACATGTGAGTACTTCTTAAACATGTCTCTTAAACCAATTCTTTATAATGTAGGAATTTTCATTACAGTTCATTTGGTTTTCACAAGTAGAGCCCTTTCTATGAAAGGACTCTAGAAATCATAAAGTTGACTACTCTTAATTTAGTTATTATCTTTACACTACTATAATCACAAATGAAGGCCCACAGCCTTTCTAGGGAGTCAACAAAAATCCTACCTGGAAATCTTTTTTTTTTTTCAGGAAGTCAACTGATTTCCAGTGAAAAACCTCTTGGAATTAGCAATTTGTATAGAGCTTTACAGTTTACAGAACACATCCACATAAGTTATTATTTCATTGCAACTTCATTAACAATTCCCTGAAGCAGGAGCTAAAGCAAGTAATAAAATGATTCATCAATGGTGCTCCAGGCCAAGGGCAACTAGACCCCCAAAATTCAGCTTTTTCATCTTCTTCCCTGGGTGCTTCCACTCCACATGCTGCTATTTTTAAAATACTTTTCATTAAATGAGTAAGTCAGGAGGATAAAGTCAATGGTATTGTAATAGTCTTGTATGGTGATTGATGGCAGCTACACTTGTGGTCAGCATAGCATAATGTATACAGTTGTCCAGTCACCACTATGTTGTACACCTGAAACTAGTGTAACACTGTGCTTCAACTATACCTCAATAAAATATACATAGTAATAGGAAACAAATAAAAATACCTTTCATTAGCTCAATTATTTATAAGGAATTTGTACTTGGTAAAAAATGTCATACTTTACAGACCACTAAACGTTAATGGTTATGTTTCCGCAGTCACTGGATGCTTTCAAAGTGCAAATCAAGCTTGAAGTAAAACTGTTTAGTGGCTTCTTTATTACATCAGAAAACAGTAAATGCTCCAAAACTCCTTACCTGGGTTCTGAGCTTTAAATATGGGTAGCTGTTCTTTAGAAAATCGAACGTATGAAGTCAGAGGCTTCTTTGGATAACTATTCACGGTGGATGAAAAACATCTCGGTACATATGCAAAACTACGTATAAAGAAAATAACCAATATCAAGTATTTAAGTGCCAATATTCACTTTTAGATGAACACAGATTCCCCCCAAAAAGACGCCATCAGGATGCTATATATGGCACGGTGTTAGTGACTTTTAAAACCCTGTCCTAACCAGAGAAAAGACCTGCAAAACTGAACTCTCAAAGCTCCATCTATGCCTGTTAAGAAGGGCAGAGTGGAGGAAAGCATCAGCACTGCAGCTCCTGGACCCTGCCTCCTCAACGCCTACACTGATGGAGAGAGACTCTTTGGCGCGCGACTTCGCAGAGAACTCTGAACGAGGACTACAAGGTTGGACAGCGCGGAGCGGCGGGAAGGAAGAGGAAAGGTGGAGGGTGGCCGGAAAGTAAGACTGCTGGATAAGGCCTGGTCGCAAAACCACCAGCCCCTTCGCAAAGTCGAGGCATGATTCAAAGCGCCACGGTGGCCCGGACCACCTAGGAGACACAAAAAAGGGTCCGAAAACGTCTACACTCCAACCCAGACCGTCCTGAGCCGTGCCGCCTCCTGAAGTGCAGGCGAGAGGTCCTTACCTGAAGGGAGAGCGCAGTCGACTTCCACAGCCCGCGCAGAGGTCCGCTCCGGACTTTCCCAGTGCACTCAGCACGCTCCACACGCCCCGGAAAAGCGCCATTGCACCAACTTACGAGGCAGCGACCAGGCGCCACCCTCCTACACCCCCGCGGCACAACAGAACTCCAACAATGACGAACAGAACCCGCTGGTGACCCTCTGTAGTTTACTCTCATGCCCGCCACTCGCAAGGCACTATGGGAAATCGGCTAACATCCGGTCAGTAGCCGGGGAACTAGGCAGGGCAGAATTGACGCAGGCGCTGTAGTAGCTTCCCGGTGGGTGGAGCTGCAAAGCAGGAGGGCTCGGGGGCGAAGAAGGAAACCGCAGCCCGGCTTGCCTGCGGAGGGCCCTGGCCTAGAGGAGGCGCAGCTGAGCCCACCTCTGCCCCCAGCCCTCTCCTCCGCATTCGGTTCCTCCTCCCGGCCTGGAGGCTGATGGAGGCACTGTGGCCACCTCACCGCGACAGTGCGGGGCTGGCTGGCGTCCGCCTGTGACGACCGAAAGGGCCAGTACGTAACAGTTTTACCGCGAGGACGCGGGATAGCTGTGCGGCCTGCGCTGCTCCGAGGTCAAGCTGGCGGGTGCTGCGCGACCAGCAGAGCCGCTGAGTTCAGGCCCCAACTGACGCTCAGTATCCAAAACACTGATGGGGCGGGGGAAGTGGGGCACGTTTCAAACCTAAAAATGCAGATTTCCTGGACTTGATGCAGTGCCTGATTCAGTATATCTGTGAGGCCCGTGACTCTGTTTTCAACAGGTTCCTCATTGTTTAACAATTTCTGATGCCAGTGGTCATAGGACCACATTTAAAGCAATACTGAACTAGACCCTCGTCCCCTCCACTGCAACTATCCCAGACCCAGTCTTCAACCCTGACATCCAACCCTGCTTAATTAGTAGGGAGGAAACTTTGGCTGATTAGTCGTGCAAAGATTCTATTCCCATTATTAACGTTAAAGTCTTGATCCGGAAATGTAGCATTCCCTAAGACTCACTTTTCCTCATTGCAGATGAGGATGTTAGACTAGATTAGTTCTTTCGAAGTCCTGAGAAAGTGTGACAAATATGCCTTGAGATATTGATCGATATGCTGTATAACCATTTTCTGTGTCGGCAATGACATGAAAAAGATATATAAGGATCAGCTTTTATATTCCAATTATTTCCTTCTGAAACAGCCTCTATTGGGTAGCTATATTTGTTGGAAAATTCTTACCACTGTAATATTAAGCTGAGAGTCAACTGCTTTCTGTACTTGGAAACATTGGCCCTTGATGCAACAAAGGAAAAGCCCACGTTTAAGTGGTATGTAAACAACTATCACTACTCCCTTTTCTTAGTCTCTCAGGGTTGAAAGGAACTTTCCATGTCATCTGTTCAAACTTCTCGTCTTGACATGGAAAAACAGCTTTTTTTTTTCTGATTACATAACTACGTACAAGGCCCCAAACTTAGGTAAAAGACACAACATTCCCCCACTCCCAATAAAGCCTGACAGAAGGAAATAAACAATTATAATGCACTGCCAAGGCAGAGGTAAGTATAGAATATGCTTCCTTATACCATTTTAGCTGGGTTCTGAAATAATTTGTTTTCTCTATATTTCTAGAATATTTTTGTTCTTTCAGTTATTTGCTAAAAAAACTATTGCAGGTTCAGCTTATCACATTGGGGTCACCAATTGCAGCTTTAGCCTATCATCAATTGTGGGTTCAGCAGAAAAGATTACTCAAGACTCCAAGTCAAGAGAGATGAGAGGGAGGCTAGGGAAATCTCCCCGACATGATCTCCAGCTCCTGTATATATTAAGCATACATTATAGGGAGAACATTGCACAATATGTCTTTGGCTATGTGCCAGTAAGATCTATAGAAAGTGTGCACAAAAAACAAGGCATTCCCAAGACCACCAAAGAGCAGATGCAGAAAGCAGGGTGGAGAACAAGATAAGATATTCCATAGATAACATGGTCTAAGGAATTCATGAGCACAGGAAAGACCCAACCCCTAAATATGCACTAACTAGATACTGGTCAGCTGTTTTCAGCAGGGCCAGAAAGCAGTGTAATGCATTCCCTATAATCTCCTTAACCAAGACATAGCTATTTGATTTCCCACAAAACTTCTTTTGGATATTTAAAAAATTTTTTGGTTTTTTAGAGTGTCATTTTGATCTTACTGTAAAGGTCTTATAAATCTGTTCTATAATATTTGTTTTCAGCAAATACCAATATTCCTTAACAGTCATTTACATTGCAGCAAAATTTTATTCCAAATGCAACATTTACAAAGAAAATATAATTCTACCTGCTTACTCAAACTATCTTTGAGTTTCACTTATGAAACATGAAGACTTACCACAGCCCTTCCTAGGGTTCTGTTCTTTTATTTTGTTTTAAAAGTTTATCTACTCCCATGACTTCAGCTATCAGTTATATCCTCATGGTTCCCATATCTTATATTGAATCCATTTTAGTCCCAAATCTACATAAACACTGTCTTCTGGACATTTTTACCATCATGTCTCACAGATACTTCAATTTTTCATTAACATAATTCACTATCTTTCTCCTGTTTTGAACAACTTCTCTTCTTAAGAAGCACCTGTGGCACAAAAACAGACACATAGACCAATGGAATAGAATAGAAACCCCAGAACTAGACCCACAAATGTATGGCCAACTAATCTTTGACAAAGCAGGAAAGAACATCCAATGGAAAAAAGACAGTCTCTTTAACAAATGGTGCTGGGAGAACTGGACAGCAACATGCAGAAGGTTGAAACTAGACCACTTTCTCACACCATTCACAAAAATAAACTCAAAATGGATAAAGGACCTGAATGTGAGACAGGAAACCATCAAAACCTTAGAGGAGAAAGCAGGAAAAGACCTCTCTGACCTCAGCCGTAGCAATCTCTTACTTGACACATCCCCAAAGGCAAGGGAATTAAAAGCAAAAGTGAATTACTGGGACCTTATGAAGATAAAAAGCTTCTGCACAGCAAAGGAAACAACCAACAAAACTCAAAGGCAACCCACGGAATGGGAAAAGATATTTGCAAATGACATATCGGACAAAGGGCTAGT